GGGCAGCAAGGGGGGGAAATGACTAGTCGCATCAGTAGTTGACTATGCGATAAGCTTATGCCCATTGGATAGTCGACTGGTCGCTTCCATCCCGAACTCTAAGAGTGGCCAGGCTGGAATCTTAGAGGATTTTTGTTATGGGGAGTGGATGGCAGGAGGCATCCCTTTCCGTTTCTTTCTGCCAATAGCAGCCGATGCAATGGTCCCTGTACTCCGAGCCCATGAGCAGCCACCCAGGAGTAGACATGTCGGTGGTTACTAATTAGCGTCACCTAGGTTACTGGGGATTGGTTAACCAGTGGCCTGGCTAGGCTGGAGCAGCCCTCTCCCCGGGGTGGGCTCCCAGAGCAGCCCCTGCCCCGGTGGGCCTGGCCTGGACAGAGCAGCCCACCATGCCACAGGCAGGGGGCGCTCCAGTCCAGCGAGGCCCCCTCCTGCCCCATTGAAGCAGTTGCAGGTTAAACGTCTCGTTTAAACGGTTATCTGATTGGACGGGATTTTACATTCCTGCCCAGGAGAGATTCAGATGCCACCGAGCTGTTTAGCAGAGCGCCCTCAGCACCCACAGCCAGCAGCATCGTTCCCACTGAGGGGTGCGCCTGCGTGGCCGCGCACAAGAAATTCTTCCCCACCCTCCTCCTCTGGCCAGCTGAGACGGAGTGGTGGGGGAGCCACTAGGGCGGGGGCTGGAACCTGCTGCAGCCACGTGGCAGGGGAGGAGGCCTACTCCAGTGGCTGGGGGGGGGGGTGGGATTGTGTTCTGGTGGCCAGGAACGTGTGTGCGTTAATAATTTGAGTGCCACAGTGGCACAAATCCAAACCACCTCAATATTGGTGCACAAGCCAAAACTCACTTCGCTCGTGGTTGGAAAATCTTAGAGGGAACGCCGGCCAGCAGCATGTTTCTACTGGTGGTGCACATCTGCACATGGCTTAGTACACATAAAACCATTTATTCTGCACGTAGACAGAACAAATTAGAGGGCACATTGATCAGAGGTTAAGTATCCTTACCGGGAGTGAAGGTCCTTTTTTTTTGTCTATTTGGCAAGAAGTCTTTACCTCCCATGACTAATGAACATTCTGGATAAAGTGCACAACTGTTAAAAATTCACTAACACCCTTTGAACTAGAGTTCACTGTCCTAATTTATCATAAAGAAGCAAAAATGAACAAACAAAATTCAGTTTTTTAACAATACTTCCTGAAAATGGATCTTATAAAGAAGCAAAAATGAACAAACAAAACTCATTTTTTAACAATACTTCCTGAAAAGGGATCACCTTCAAGCAGAGAAGCTCTGTGGAGTTGAGAGGCTATTTCAGACATCTACACTGAAAGGCACTAGTTCTCAGCAGGGTTGAAGGATCAAAATCAGACCTTTCATGGGATTGTGATATTGAAGGGAAATATAACCAGGGAAATCGTTCCTGACTAGTGCTGGTCAAAAATGTATTTTATTCTCTCCGTAATATAAAGGAACATGGGTTTTTTTGTTGTTGTTGTTGTTCCTATTAAAGTTTTCGTGGGATAATGGGGGAGGTTCATCAAAACACCCAGAACCAATTTTTGGTGGTGTTTTTTGTTGTATAAAACAAAAAAAATCATTTTCCAGGATTTGGGGTTTTTTTGTCAATAACATTTTTGAGAAACAAATTATTTCATTGTCTATATAGTGAGAAATGTATATATTTATGTAATAATTTTCTGGGGAAGGGCAAATTGATGAAAAGTCTTTAAACATCTGTCCTTCTGGTATAGAACAAGAAAGTCAACTTGCATCACCCATTAGTAATGTCTGAGAAGGTTGTTTCAAACTTGGATTCCAGTAGTCTCTCACTTCACAGATGAAAATATCCAACTTAGGCAGTGACCTTTATTGGGCTGATAGGAGGCAGCAGGGAAAATCCTGGAGGACCTGTCTATGTTTTCACAACAGGGGAACAAGCAAAGCTAATGACAGAACATACCCTATCTAGTGATTCCTGGTCTGTTTGAGAGGCTGCCAATAGGAATTGACTTATTCATGTTGCACAACTGAATTTCTCAACTTCTGGTTGCAGTTGGCAGCTTAAGAGGTTCCTTGCTGGAAACGGACTTTCACCCCCGGGTAGTGACACGGTGTACGCATGGGTCATATTTGCAATGGGAAAATTGACACACCTGATTTGAACATGTAGGGTTCGAACTTGTAAATTTGGCTTCCTCTTTTTTTTTTTTTAAGAGTCATCCGTGCTGAAGCCAAACGAGCCGTAATATTTTTCTGAGCTCTTACCTCTCAGATTTGGAGTATAGCATCTCAGTAGAATGAGGATGATGGAGATGTTATCCCTGAACACAGTTGTAAGAACTCCTCCCTCCGACTGATGTCAAGCTCAGAATTGCTTCTTTTCCAAGAAAGACTTGGTGTGTTTAGACAGTTCTGGGAGGGTGCTATAGTACCTTGCTGAAAACAAGCAGGTCACAAGATTCATTGTCTCAGTTGTAGGACTTTTCCAGTCTCTGTAAATTAAATTTGCATCACCAGAGAGACCGATATGATGTTCTTCAGCACCGTAGCCTTTTCAGCCACATTTAAATAGGTGTAGGGTATAGGCAAAGCCATGTGTGGGTTATAGCCTGTCCTGATATTTGCTTCTAGACTAACAATGCTAAGATATGGAACTGAAATAAAATCCTAGATGAAAGCAGCAATTAACAAACAAGTCGCCCTGACTTTACCATACTGTATTCCGTAAACAGGTTCATTCTTGCATCCAGGCGGTTCATGAAACTTAATACAGGCCAGGAAATGTTACCTCAGCATTTTTTAAAATTCCGTAATGACCCTCGTACCGCTTGCATCCAGGCGGTTCATGAAACTTAGTACAGACCAGGAAATGTTACCTCAGCATTTTTTTAAATTCCGTAATGACCCTCGTACCTAAGTACACACCCTACACTTAGCTGCTTCTAAGTACTTCCCCGGTTCATTACGGCACGTCCCTGTTTCTCGAGGCATCTCCATATTGCTCTCGTGTTCTTACGACAGCTTGCTGGAAAACTGCGCGGAGGCTTGCCAGCTCTTAACACACGGAGCCCGAGAGGTCTCATTTCTGAGCCTGCATTAAAAATGTTTGCAGCTCTAGTATTCAAATCTGTGAGCCAACAGCGGGAGCCTTTCATATGAATGGCAAAACTTTCTTTGAGCAGGATTTGACTTTGCGGAAGCCATACTAAAGAGAAAACATGTCTAGCTCCTCCAGATTAGCTCTCCTCGTCTCTCTGCTTCTCCAGAGCAGGGCCGTTGCCTCTGGCAACTTCTCTGGTCCAGTGTCCAGTTCAGTTTTAAATAGTTCAAGCCAGCGGGACTTCTATCACTTCCCCAGGGAGACCATTCTAATACCACTGGCGCCTTTATGATTAGGAAATGTTTCTATTTAATTATTGTAGAATAATTCCCTCTTTCCTTCATACTTGAAGCCCATCCAAAGGTCTGCTAGGCTGTCTAATTACTGGGTACATCCATCCCCTCTAGTAATACCTGCTCGTTTCAGTCTGATGGAAATTGTTTGGAGTTTGGGGGCATCTATTTTCATTTCATTCAGTAGGATGTTTGTTTGTCCAGACCCACTGGGTCCCAGGAGAGGAAAAATAAAACCCATGGGAGAGCTGGAGAGCCAAACAGCTGGCTGTTATTTTACCTTTCGTTATTGAGTGACGTTCTTTTACCTTTCTCTCTTAAGAGCACGTGCAGTGTTGTGCAGACATTGTAATGCTGATTCGAAACGCCACAAGACACATGTGTCTTCTCTTCCGCAGGGTGGGTATCCCGTGCCCGCCACGGCCTCAAACACTCCCTTGTTCCGACCTGAGGATGAGCTGGAACATCTGACCAAGAAGATGCTGTACGACATGGAGAATCCGCCCTCGGATGACTACTTCGGTAAGTGCCGTGTCACATGGGCTAACTCTCCCCGGGGCCTTTTGATCTCTGTACCACCCTCCGCAGTTGGGAGAATTGGCAGCCCCCCTGCTAATGCAATGGCAGTCATGATGTTGGAGTCTCTTGATATGTTTGGGGTAATTTTTCAGAGCGATCCCTCTAATTTCAACATCCATCTGGTGCTCACTCACTGACCAGTATCTAAGTTCAGTGTTTCATTGCCTGGGTCTTTCTGACACCATTTTTGCAACAGCATCACACTGTTGACTCATATTTAAGTTCAGTCTACAACCTTCGGAGCTATAGGGCCAAATTCAGCCTGAATGTAAATTGGTGCAAAATCATAGGGCCTGCTTCTTTTTCCACTTACATGGGTGTAAAGCAGTGGTTCTTAAACTGTTGGTCGGGACCCAGAATGGGTCTTGATGACCCCATGTTAATGGGTCTCCAGGGCTAGCTTAGTCCCAGGGCCTGGGGCTGAAGCCGACACCCAAGGGTTTCCGCTCTGGGGGCAGGTCTCAGGTTACATGGCTGAAGCTTTGGGGCTTTGGCCCCACTCAGTGGGGTAGCAGGGTGCATGCTCCTGGCCCCGTGCAGTAATGTGCGTTGTCAGAAAGGATTCACAGGGGCAATGGGCTTTGAGAGCCGCTGGTGTAAAGCAAGAGCAATTCCATTTGTGTCAGTCAGTTTTACACCGATCTAAGGGCATGTCTACACCACGGAGAAGATCAGTCCTCTAGAGATCGATCTTCTAGCGTTCGATTTAGCAGGTCTAATGTCGACCTCCCCCCCTCCCCCAAAATCAAACGCTGAAGGCATCCCCCACCGGTGCCCTGCACTCATTCTGCGAGGAGTAAGAGACGCCGATCAGAGCGTGTGCTCCCTTCAGCCTCCCGCAGTGTAGATGCAGCGGCGGCTCAGCTTAAGATAAGCCGAATCCAGCTTCCATTTTGTGAAGCTGGACAGCGTACCTTAAGCCAGCCTGCCTGGTCTAGTGTCGACCAGGCCTAAGTGAAGCGAAACTCCGGCCCAGTGGACTTCAGTGGAAATACTCCAGGGTTGATCATGACCTCTAATAAGGATGTCATCTTGCTTGTCTGAACGAGATGGGCCACTAGGTCCCTTTGTAAAGGTATTTCATTGTGGTATCTCGTGTCTCTGTGTAAAATACAAGTTAGGGTGAGCGTTGAATTGTGTGGTGAAGCCAAGCACCTCCCTCATTCTTGGGGATCTCCACTTTCTGCTCTTCCGTTTCTCATAAGCGTGGCTGAGAGATCCATCGGGGAGAGACAGTGGTTATGAGACGGAACTTTGAGTTTTGCTCGGGATTTAAATTTGTGATGCTGAAATATTTATGTCGTGCCGGCGAAGGCTGTATCACCAGGTGACTTGACTTCTTTCAGAGGGTGGGTTTTGACAGAGAGAGCTCGGTCGCGCACAGGGGTGGGATATAAAGCCCTTCTGCTTTGTGGTTTGGAAACAATGATCATTTGCCACCCAGTGGCTGATGAGCTTGCATGAAAGCAGTAAGTTACCTCACTCTAGCACCCAGGAGAGGTCCCCAAATCACTAACGCAGTCAAATATCGCCAGCTGCGTTGTCCTCAGCAGTAGGGGCAAAGACTGATTGGCTGTGGCAAAAACTAGGAGACCCGCAGCTGACATACTTACATCTGGGCACCTAACAATCCCCTGATGGCATGTAATTCTTAGGGACTGACTCACGCATCTCAAGCGAGGTCTCCGGTCTCAGTTTTCTTTTAAACATCATTAACCAGCCGGAGGAAGATGATTAATATGTGCCTGGTCGTTTTCCTAAATTCCTCCTCAGTTCTGCTCAGCCTCTTGTGTGCTCCATACAGCATTTTGGGGGAAGTGTCCATGGGTCATCTACAAAGAGCGGGGCAGGTAGTGGAGAAATCCAGCCTGGAATACAGCCATAAAAGAACGTAAGAGCAGCCAGACTGAGTCAGACCAAAGGTCCATCCAGCCCAGTGTCCTGTCAGCCGACAGTGACCAATGCCAAGTGCCCCAGAGGGAGGGAACACAACAGGTAATCATTACATGATCCCTCTCTGATCATCCATTTCCAGACAAACAGAGCCTAGAGACACCATTCCTACCCATCCTGGCTAATAGCCATTGATGGACCTAACCTCCGTGAATTTATCTAGCTCTTTTTTGAACCCTGTTAAAGTCCTGGTCTTCACAACATCCTCTGGCAGGGAGTTCCACAGGTTGACTGTGCGCTAAGTGAAGAAAAACTTCCATTTGTTTGTTTTAAACCTGCCACCTATTCATTTCATTTGGTGACCTCTAGTTCTTATGTTATGGGAACAAGTAAATGACTTTTCCTTATTTACTTTTTCCACCCATCATGATTTTATAGACCTTTATCCTATCCCCACCTTAGTCTTCTCTTTTCTAAGCTGACAAGTTCCCAGTCTTTTTAATCTCTCTTCATATGGCACCCCTTCCAAATTCCTAATCATTTTTGTTGCCATACGAGGTGATAAAACCAGATACCCACACAAGTCACTTAAAAAAGTCACTTAAAATATTCCAAACTTGCCTCGCGGTTGAATTGAGGATTTTTTTTTCATGTATAAAAAGGCATTTTGACTTCACAGTGAAGGAAGGGAGTGCTCTCTCTCTCTCTCTCTCTCTGTTGCTGCTTATGCTGTATTCATTCTGTGGATATGGAAAGCCACTCTCCAGGGCTAATAGTCTAGCACCTTTCACCAGCATTAAACCTGTTTGGAAAAATTTAAGGACTAGGGAGCTGTCCTATGGACTTTGCACATCACCAGCATTAAACCTGTTTGGAAAAATTTAAGCCTAGGGAGCTGTCCTATGGACTTTGCATGGTTAACAGTCTGAATCAATCTCTCTACCTTTGAAGCTGTCCTGCATTTATTTAGCATAGTACCAGGGACTGTACAAACTGACGATTCACGCCGCACATTGATCAAATAATCAGGGAGAAAAAAAAAGGACAAGTGGGCAGAGACATTGACTCTGATCTGCTTTAAATATCTTCTGCCTGAGGTCTAAATGCCATGGTAATTGTAGCATCCCAGATAGCTGTCAGCTAATCACTTTATTAGTTTGAATTTAGAAAACTGGATCTTGGCATATTAAAAGTTGGTTAAGAGCAGAGAGGTTTTGAACTGAAGAATCCAATTAACCTTGGCGGAAAGCTTCAAGGCGTTCTATTAAGTCATGAAAATGATTTGTCCAAATAATTACATTTGAACTGGCATGCGAAAGAAAGGTCATTTTACGTGGTCCGTCAGCACTCCGGGTCTTCTCTTTAGGAGCTCTCCTCCTGCTAGTCGGTTTCGCTTTTCACTTCTCGGGCTTCCATCAGGTTGTTTATTTTCTGGATGCTGTGTCGGAAGTGAAGTGGGGCTCAGCAAAGTTCTGTCTGTTCCTAGCTCCGGAAGTCTCGGCTAGACCCCCTACAAGGCTAGCAGATGAGTTCAGAGACAGGGCAGCTTGCAGTTCCATCAGCTCTCTTTTCACCAGAGCACACCCTTGCAGCTCTGCTTGATGGAAATTACTGTAGACGATTTCACACACAAGGGACTCGCTCTAGCCAAGAAACATTTTAAAAGAAATCGCCCAAGCATATACAATTGAAGGCAAGGGATCGTTCATGTGCAAGGAGGAAGACACTGCTGCCGTGTAATCAAGGTAGGGCCCATTAAGGCCTTGCCAGTTAAGAGCTTGCCACAAGCAGCGGGCTAATCAGGGCTAGGGTTGCCAGATGGTTTAACAAAAAATAAACACCCCTCTTTGCCCCCCCCCCCCCAAAAAAATTGTGAGAAAAAAAAGGGCGGGGGGAGACCAAAGTTGTTAAGCAAAAAAAAAGCCTTTAAATGGCCCCGTGCTCCTCACTCCCCCACCAGATGCGGCAGGGCAAAATTGTCCCCGCCGGCCTTCCATCTGAGGGAAACAGGAAATATCGAACATTTCACATGTCCGTTATTTTCTGGTTTTTTTACCCGATTGGGGACCCAATTAATGGGAAGTCTGGGCGAAAACTGGACACCTGGCAACCCTAATCAGGGTACCTGCAGCCAATTAAGGCCTGCCGGGGCCAGTTTAAGTGGCTGCCTCAGGAAGGGCAGGGGAGAGGGCCAAAGGCTGAGAGGGAAGAGGTGCACTGAGGGAGCTGAGGACTGGGAGTGTGGTAGAGAGTGCTGTGGAGAAGCAGGAGGGGCTGTTCTGGGAGGGATCGTTTGGGAAAGTGGCCCGGGAAAGGCTGCAAGATGGAGTGAAGGAAAAGCCGCCAGTTCCTCAGGGTCGCTGGACTGGAACCTGGGGGAGTGGGGAGGCCCAGGTTCCCCCCAACCCTCCCCACACCACTTCAGAGTCTGCCCCTGAGAGGGGAGACCAGGACTATGAAGGGTTTCACTCCAAACTATGGACCAGCTTCTGAGAAGATGGCTCAGTAGGCCCTGAGCTTTGCCTCTAATAAAGGGCCAGAGACCGGGTGGAGGGTCACGGTGAGCCTCTGAGACCAGACTAACCACCAAGAAGCGCAGGACCCTCAGGCCACAGCTAGAACTTTGCCACGATAGAGAGAGGTGGTGACCGGGCAGCTCCTCAGGATAAGGCATCTCGGCAGCGGGCTGCGGATGGAGTTTGCCGTGCATCTCAGCCATCCGGCGTGCATGCACAAGATGGCTGTTTGCTCGGTGCTGTGCGGGCCAAAATGCCTTTCCTCGTGATTCATTCCACGTTATGGCAGCGGGGTGCGTACAGGGCTCTTGATTCCCCAGGGAGAGCTTTGGGAAGATTTTTCTTCTGTGCTTCTGAGGACCTGGTTCTGCTCTCAGTAGTGACAGCCCACAGGCTCGGGGAAATTCCTTCGGATTTGCTCCATGGTGAATGAAAGGAAAGACACCTCCCCTGGCATGCCGATAACCACACTGGGACTTCAGCTCCTCGTGCTGTTTATTCCTCCTCCTGGCCGGCCTCACCCTGGGATTCGGC